TAAATTGTGGTGAAATCAACTAAGAAACTATAATCACATCTCACATGTATATATGGGTTAAGTTGAATGGATTTTATTTTCAATATGGACAAGGCCGATCTAGATTATGCATGGGGATGAGGGGCAACTTTTATATTTTTCCATAGAGATATAGGTCTTATATTCATAACATGTCTCTCAACCACAACTCAATCTAAAAAGGTTAATTTAATATTTTAAGAGGATAAAGTCAACTCTGAAAAAAGGTTGTTTTACCTAAATGCAAACTCAAGCATATTGAGAGAGAGGTAGGATATATGATAGGGAGAGAAAGAGAGAGCAAGTTGAGGTAAAAGAGACCATCAATGTTTAAGTTATATTTCATCTGATATTATTTATAAGATAGATAGAAGGATATTTTTTAATCACATTTATAAGTATGTTATTAATTTTTTATCACAAAATTTTCTTTTATCCCATTAAGATGAGGGGAAAAGTTGCAAGAAAATAAGGATGATGAGAGAAAATTAGAAGAAAAAATTTTCAAAAATAATAATTTTTTAGTATTTTTAAGAGTTTTCCTTCATAGTTTTCTTCCTTTACTAATTTCTTCCTACATAAACAAAGGATAAATGTTAATGAGAGAAAATGAGTTAATAAAGTACGTACATTAAATAAGGGCAAAATTAAAAAAAATATTAAGTATTTAGAGATAATTAATGATTTTTAAGTTTTTCATTTTTAATAAAATAAATTAAAACTGCTTTATAAATAAGATAGATGAAGTGTATATACACACTGTCCCTTGCACAAGATTAAGCAATTTAACTTTAATCCTCTTAAAATTCTAGGCTAGTTTTGCCTAAGATGTGGGTGTAATCTTTTTTGCATGCATAGCATGGCTATAAAGTTTATAAATATGAATAATATGGTTGGTTTTAAATTTTATGATACATATATTACTAATGTTATTTATGGCAATCAAATCATATAATTTGACTTGCAAAAGAAGGGTTAATTTTGTTTGCCTAACGATTGGATACAGGGAAACGGAAATATGAGGAGAGACGCCTGCCACAGGGGCGTTACCGCTGACCCACGCAACCCCCACGCGCGCCTTTGTCAAATGTTCACTTCAAATTCACACGCAATTGACGCGACACGTTTCACAAACCATACACGTGCGGGGCATTCCCCTCTCTCCTCTTGACTTACCAAACAAAAGAGGGAAAATATCAAGTAAAGACCACCCGAATAAATTTATATCGATTAAGGGTAATTATTATTAAAATTTAAATAGATATTTATTAATTTAGATTGATCTTTTATTAATAAGTATTCATTCAACTTTTAACAATAATTCATTTTAAATTAATAACAATCCATTTGTGTATGTTTTTTATTCGAGTTTTGACAATAACTGATCCTTAACTGATATAAATTTTCTCAAATTATCCATGATTGCTATTTTCCCAACAAAAAATCATACAATGATAAATTTACTGTTGGAAAATTTATTTTCTTTGATCTCTTAAATTTAATTTTTTTATTAATTTAGTTTTTTATATATATTTAAATTATTATGTAAGTTCTTTACATTTCAAAATGCAAATTAATTGTCAAATTATAAATTTTTAAAATATGTTAATGATTTGACACCCAGCCACCACCCCACACACATATTTGTGGTAAGAATTGCATACTTAGACTTACTCCCTCTGTTAAAAAATATAAAATACTTTTAATCAAATCTCACCCCCTAATAAAATAGTTACTTACTTTTAAATTAATTCTATTTTTTTATATTTACCTCTATTAAATATCTTATAATAAATATAAAGTTATTTATCAATAGAGACACTTTAAAAAAAGACAATGATTACACATCGAAAGACTAAAAATGCTTATATTTTTTAATATCCAATCCCTAAAAAATGCTTTACATTTTTGAGTGGAGGGAGTATATATTTAATATAATTTTATTTAATCAAATCAATATATGTAAATTTAATGTGTTAATAATATTAATAATAAGAATTTATTATAAAATAAATAATTACTAAAAGATAGTACAATATCTTGATTTAATTAAAAATAAATATACATGTATATAAGATTAAAGATATACTCTCTCTGTTTAAAAATGTAGGGTATTTTTAACCGAATCTCACCTTTCAATAAAGTAGTTACCTACTTTCAAACTAACCCTATCTTTTTATATTTAACTCTATTAAATGTTTTATGATAAATGTAAAGTCACTATCAATATGGGCATTTTTTTTAAAAAAATAATGATTATACCTCAAAAGACTATAAATACCTTATATTTTTTAACATCCAACTCTTCAAAAAATATATTACATTCTTGAATGGAAGGAGTAAGTTTTTTCCACGTGCGCACACAAACTTGGGATAACATAATAAATCTTGTTTGTTCAATGTTTGTTCTTGTGTTCCATCCTGGCTTTGTGATTTTGTGGGTAGTGGCAGATTTAGATCCTAAATAAGTGGAGGAAATTTTCTTGTTGAAGTTCCTTCCAAAAATATTATTGTTAATATATAAATTTATAAATACCGAACGTTCCTATTCCTATTATATTTAAATGTGGGGATAGATTTAAAAAAATTAAATCATGGTTGGGTTTTAAATTTTTCATTATTGATGCAAATATATATTTTTAAAATTTTAAGGTGGTTTTCTTAATTTGTAACAAGTAATTCTCTATTTATAACAATTGGCTTATCATTTTTTAACTATTATCTTGAAATTTTATTTTGCATAATATATTTGAATTCAATATAAAATTGATTTAATATGAATTAATAAATAGAAATGTCAAATATAAAAGTTCTATCAATTTGTTTATTTTTTATAATTATTCTATTAATTATTCTATAAACTATCAAATGTTTTTTAAACAAAATTTTTATTTTAATGCTAGTAAATATTTAATATTTTATATATGATATAAAATGTGCAAAACATATTTATTTTATGGGAAAACATAATCAATCATATTTTACTTTTAATCTTTGTAATTTTCTTTCAGTATTTTTAGTTTTTATAATTCTTATAATTTATTAATTTAACATTGTTAAGGATTTGAGAAATAAACGTCACTCAATTTACGATAATTATAGGAACTAAAAAAATTATAGAGAATAGAAGCAAAATTTAATAAAATTATAAGGATCAATAATTATATTATATTTATTTTATTATTTCAAACTCTTATATCAAACTCTTATATATTTTAAGATATTATCTCCATGTTACAATATATTTTTACCAAATTTAATTTTTTTCAAGTTAACATTATTTCTCTGATCTGATTTAGGCATTGATTATTTTTAAAAGCTTAAATAAACATTATAAAAACTATTAAAATAAATTTAAAAAAATAAATAATTTTTTTACAAAATAAGTTAAAACAAATGAGCCTAGTAAAAGACTAAGGTTCTTTTTATTATTTGTTTTTCTTTAAAAAATTGAACACAAGAAAATCAGAAATAGAATGAGAATTAAAAAAAAAAAAAAGAAAAGTACATTCGCCGAAGACTTAAGAAAAAATCTTGGTAAAAACCTTATCTAAATAGAAGTTTTTTTAATACTATTTGATATAAAAGAGTTGAGTATAAATTAATAAAATAAATAACATTGTTTGGAATAATTAACTTTTCCATTTAAGTAATTAATTTTCAACCTGTACCAAATTCTTCCTAAAATTAATTATAGGGAAAACATTAGTGTAAAAGGACCAAAGCATCTTGAATTCATTCTGAAATCCTTGATATCACACCTAACAATAAGATTGAAAGGAAAAAATGAAAATAATTTTCTGAATCTCAGCAAGTAGAAATATTGTTTGCATAAATATGGATATATAAAAAATGACAAATAATGATACTCCCTTCGTTAAAAAATATAAGACATTTTTTAAAAAGTTAAATGTTTAAAAATATAAGTCATTTTTAATCTTTTGAGGTATAATTATTGTCTTTTTTTTTTAAAAAATACCTCTATTGATAGTGATTTTATATTTATTATAGGGTGTTTAATAGGAGTAAATATAAAAAGATAAGATTAATTTAAAGTAATTAACTACTTTATTGAGGGTGATATTCGGTTAAAAATGCTTTATATTTTTAAACGAAGGGAGTAATAATTTTAATAAGAAGGTAGAAAATACTAAGTATTACTCTTTTTGTTAAAAAATATAAGGTAGTTTTTAAGAAGTTGGATGTTAAAAAATGTAAAACAGTTTTAATTTTTTGAGATGTAATTATAACGTTGTTTTCAAAAGTACCCTTATTGATAATGACTTTATATTTATTGTATAGTGTTTAATAATTGTGTAAATATAAAAAGATAAAATTAATTTAAAAGTAGATAATTATTTTATTAGGGTAAAATTCGGTTAAAAATGTCTCATATTTTTTAATAGAGGGAGTATGTTCTAACAAGTATAGTGATGGGAAAAAACAAATAAAAAGTATTGTTTTGGTAAACTAAAATTGACAAGGGCATGTATTTATTTATTTTTTTGATAAATATGTACTCCTTCATTTAAGAATATAATATTTTTTTTAAGGAGTTGAATATTACAAGATGTAAACTATTTTTAATTTTTTCAGGTATAATTATTGAATTTTTTAAAATTATCCCTATTGAATAAATTATTTACATTCATTTTAAGGTGAAATACGTTATTAAATAAAAATAAATGTGAAAATATAATATTAATTTAAAGATAAATAATTATTTTATTAAAAATAAAATTTAATTAAAAATGTTTTATATTTTTTAAATAAAAAAATATATAAAAAAAGAATAAGTAAGGATAAAAATTTAATCTTTTGGTAACAATGGGAAAAAAAAAACAATTTAATAAGCATGGTTATTTTGTCTTTTTCTTTCTTCAATCTTATTTTTTGATGGACTCAGGGGACTTCATAGTAAGTTTATAAGTCTTTGTCCCCTTTTCACAATTAACATGCTCCGGTGGTCTTTCAATTGCGATATTCTCTTAATTTTAACCCCGATAAAACCCATTCTCGTGACTAGCGGATCCAGTTCTCTTCGTCGACGAACAAGCATACCGCACTCCGTCGGACGCCGTCCACCGTTGCCAGCCCTGCGTGGCTGTTATCGGGCAAGCAGTGAAAAAGGTTCGAACCCTAGGGCTTTTTTCTACTGCCAAAGTCCGGGGAGATTGATTTGTTCAATATGGCTTTGAATCTAGATTTGAATTTGGTGTCCGCGTCATCTGTTCCCTGCGTGGCTGTTCTTGCTTTGTTTTAATTTTTTTTATTTTAATTGGGCTTGGAATCTGGTTGTGTTATCGGTGAATATTGGCGCCTTTGAATTTGGGAATATTTACATATTGAGGTTTTTTTTTTGGTACTAGTTTTTGCTTGAATGGTGTGTAATTGGCTAATTTACTTTTGCCCTCTTGATTTTGATTACTTTGGACTTTTATGATTTGGATTTTGTTGGTTTGCAATGTTGGATTTGTTGTGTATTAGCATTCTGTTTATAAGTCTTTTTATATTATCATCAATTTTGGAAAATTTCAAGGTATTTGTGATGTATGATCTTGTAAATGATTTGGCTGGTGTTGTGTCAGAATATGTGGAACAAAAATTTGAAGGGTCTTATATCAACTATGCATATTTCAAAGATTTCAGTGGGGGCAGATGCCCTACTGAGAGTGGTATAGGTCCGCCTATGGACATAGGCATTCCTCTCCAAGCTTATGTAAGAGAACGGCATAAATTCAATCTGCCATGAAGTTTTTACCTTCTTATTTCTGCCTAAATCCTTAAAGCATTTGATGGGTTATTCTTTGAGAAAGCCATTGCGTTGTCATGTAAAAATGAGTTCCGTACTACTGTTGCACTAGATCTGCATTGACATGGTACATATGAGATAAAGTAGCATGAGGTCAACAAAATTGCAACATGTCGTTTGTATTGATCCCATTAAGTGCAGGTGCTTTATGCTTTTAAATGGCCTTGCCAAGTTGTAAGTTTTGTTGAGGCGGATAATATCTAGATATAAATACATGATAAAAAGAAACAGAAAAATAAAGGGTTAAGCATGTAACGTATCCATTGAGCAGTAAGGAAATTTCTGATTAATTACCCCATTCTTGTCTCCCTCTTGTAATCCAAGTCGAGGACCTGATGAGTTTTGGGCCTAGGTTTTATACTATCTGGTTTTTATTACTTGAAGATTGAGGGGGAAATGTATATCATAATTTTCTCTTCTTAAAGCATGCTTTGGATTAACAATGACTTCCTATTTATTTCAATGAATAGTTTATCAAGGTGAAAGAATGAAAGAAGGAAGTTTGTAGTCTTAATTAAAACCCTAATCAAAAAATAGTTGGCGTTAGCTCAATGGAGCTATTCCATCTCTCCATGTATGTCAAAGAGGCTTTTTAAAGAATATGTCAGTTGAGAACTTTAAATTATCCAGTGATTACTAACCCTGCCTACTCTACAAAAGTAGCCAGGATAAGAATTTCTGTCTAATAATTTTAGCATTACTTTGCCTGAAACCTTGAAGATGATTTGGGAGATCTCAAATTTAGTTGGATAAACCGCTGCTGGTGATCCATGCAAGGCTGAGCAATGTAACTGGTACTTGTTGACCTTACAAATACATGCACAAATATTATTAGATAAAGTTTGATGTGGCTTTTATCCTTCTACTAGATCATTAGTGTTGGTCCCTATTTTCTATTCAATATAAAGTTTCAGCTTTTAACATTTGGGGGAGTCTTAATCTTGCCAAAAGGATTATTTAGAGCTGAATTCTGTTTATTTGGAGTTGGAATCAATGGTTTCAACTTTCTTCTTACGTATTATTTATTTACAACAGGTATCACCTGGATCTGGAAAGACAACTATTAGATATCCTATGACTCAGAACGCTGATATGAGACGTGAATCAGGGACTTGTAATGTTTGTTCAGCTCCTTGTTCATCTTGTATGCATTTTAACCGAGCTTGCATGGGGTCAAAGGTTGAGTTCTCTGATGAAAATTGCCATTTAGCGGCGAGTAACCAGTATTCTATGGAAGAAGGTGATATATCTTCTCTTAGGAGTAAGGCTCATGAAAGCATTCAGCATACTGACATGCTCAGCATCAATTCTAGTCATGATTCTCTATCTGAAAATGCTGATAGTAAACAGACTTTGTCAAGCAAGTGTCAGGAGTCTAAGTACCTTGAAGGTCTTGATGATAACACTTCTTGTATTAGTAGAGCCAGTGATGGTAATTTAGCAAATAGTAGTCATCCCAACAATGCAGACAGAAGAAATGTATCTTGTAGTTCAGCTTCAGTTAATATCTTACGGGCAGAAGGATTTGGAAGTGCCCATTCTTTTGACTTGTCTGGCTTACCTGAGATTCCTCCTCGTAAAGATGTGGATACTGGTGAGAGCTCACCTAAGGAGCAAAGCCATGATGCAAAGTCTCAAAGTGTTGAGTCTCATTCGACCATTCCAAGGTTAATGGATGTGGAAAGAGATGCACCTTCTCTTATTCCAGAAAAATCTGAATGCTTCACAGAAAATACTGATTCATCATCAAGAAAAGTGATAGCAACTTCAGTTGTTTCTGGTGAGAAACCTCTTGCTGTAAAGGATAATCTCATTGATGGTAGCTCCACGGCTTCACTAAAAATATATCCCAAGTCAGAAGCAGATGCTGTTAATGAAGTTGGGAGTGCTCCAGATGAAGCTTGTAATGTTGCAATCCAAGATGAGCAGGATAAAGCTGAGGAACCACTTGAATCACCTGGCATGGAGGAGCCTCAATCTGAAGACGAGAGCGATGAATCTGATGTTGTTGAGCATGATGTGAGTACCCTTATATTTTCATGTTGCTTGTTTATTTATTTTCTCTATGCTTGATTGAGTGAGGAATAATAGAATAGGATAAAGGCCATATTCCTAATATTTAATTGGGCTACTGTACAAATTGATGTCCATGCATATCAAACCACTGTGGTTTATTGGTAACGCTTTGATGGAGTGGTTTGACTATCTCCCCTTTCTTGGACATGGAAGCAGTTAAATTTTGTTTTCTTCGTGCTCTCTTAGCTGTTTCGTTTTAAATTGCTTAGTCTTGCCATTTTAGGATGAAGTTACTATTAGAAGAGGGATGTTGTTGGCTCCAGGAACATGATAAAATAGCTAAATAATTAATAATAAAACAAGTAATAGAATTCACCAGCTCACAAAAGCATCTCAATGCCTTTGCAAAACAGCTATATTATCCTCCTTCCTTGTGGGATAAAAGCCATTAACATTAAACGTTTGAGACATTATGAAAACAAATGTCTCATGGTGCGTATAATAGCTAAAAGATTAAGGTGCCACGAGCCAACACAAATTCTGTTATTTTATTTCTACTTCAGTATGGTATGATTTTATGGTCACTTACACTTAGTTATGAACCAAAAAACAATTTGAAAATTACTTAAAATGTTTTATGAAATTGAAACATTCACAGTATAGACAAGCAGCCTTATCTTGAGACTGAAATCCTAAATTTTAATTAGGAAACGGAATGCTAATTGACAAAGGGCTAAATGTTCAAAGATCCTTACATCTAAATAAATAGTAAGCCTTTGATTCCCTAATTACATAACTTATTTAAAATTACAATTTCATGATGCATTTTTCTACATAATATATCAGTTTTCCCTAGTATTCTATCTGTCTGTCAGCAGTTCTGTATATTCAGCTGGAATGTTATTAATTTTCTAGATGAATTCTCTCCATCCAGCATAATCTTTAATACTGGTTTAATTTTCTATCAGAATTTTTTTAATGGTTTTTGCTAATGATAGGGAAAACGTTAACGGTTTGTTTCATTGATTGGAAAATAGGTTAAAGTTTGTGATATCTGTGGAGATGCTGGACGGGAAGATCTGCTTGCCATATGTAGTAGGTGTAGTGACGGTGCGGAACACACGTAAGCATGACAGTTTTAACCCTATCTTTTGTTTGCATTTCATTTATTAGTCAAATCTCTAGAGGGGAGAAAAAAGGGGGGAAAAAAAGCCTTGACAGTCATATTTTTTTCCAATCAGTTATTGCATGCGAGAAATGCTTCAGAAGGTCCCTGAAGGAGACTGGCTATGTGAAGAATGCAAATATGCAGAGGCAGAAAATCAAAGGCTCGGTAAGAGTTAATTTGTGCATAAAGTTAAAGAAGATATTGTTATGGTGGCTGACATTTGCAGCAGTTTAAGGTTTCTGTGTATACTTGTTGATCTCTTTCATCTGGAGCATGCATGGCTTTGGTTTTGATATTGAGAGTATTAAAAGCTTATAAGCACCCTCTCTAGCTTTGGGTCCATGGTTTTATGCTGACTTATTTATGGGAACAAATGTCATGGTTCAGATGTTGAAGAAAGGAAAATTCCAAAAGTTAGTTCAACATCACAACATTTTGGCAAGAGGCTGTCTGAGAATATAGAACTGGCTCCTGTACCAAAAAGGCAGGCTCTTGAATCAAGCTCAGCTTCACCAAAGTCATCAAGCCCCAAGAGAACTGTTGTACTTTCTCAAGAATCTTCATTAAAGAGCTCAGATAAAGGTAAACTGAAGCCTGATAATCAGATGCCTATTCGAAATCACTCTGGCAGTGATAATACAGAAACAGTTCGTTCTCCTCCTGCTTGCCCTCGGGGTCTACTTCGAAAGGGTATGGATTTACCTATCCTATATTGTGCGTGATTTTTATCTTTGTATTTTTTAAATTCATTTATAAGTGACTAGGGGTTCCACAACAATATGTCTTCCTATGTTTAATTATTTCCAGCATCATATTTGCTTCTATGAACAGGTATGCTGTTGAAATCTAATTCTTTCAATGCATTGAATTCAAAGCCTCGAGTCAAACCTGTTGATGAAGTTGTTCCCCAAAAGCTGAAAGGGCCTGGTGAAAATACTTCTAAGAATATGGAGACACCTTCCCGGATGATAGGCAAGTCTATGTCATTTAAATCCACGAGTTTAGGTCGTTCAAGTACAACTGCATCAAAAGTTAAATTGCTTTCATCAAATTCTGTACCTGCTCAAGATTTGAAAGGAACAAGGCCTGCAAAAGACTCCAGTGCATTTGACAGGAAAAGTCTTTCTAGGGTTGATCGCCCAGTGGTTTGCTCAACAATGGCCACCTCTGTTGTTTCAACACCCAAAGGTGATCTGAAGAGCACAACTCTTAGTGAAACTATTAAACCTTTGTCAGTTAGCAACAACCGAGACTTGAAGGTGAATCAAGATGGAAAATTAAGTACCTTATCAAAGTCTATCAGTAATGTAGGCCGTAAAGGTGTAGAACCTCAAGTCTGTTCAGGTAAGATCTTGATTGAGTGCTTGTTATGTTATAATATTTCATCGTCCATGATATATCTTTCTGCTTCCTGGGTCAATATGCTGCTGCTGATATTTTGATTTCAATGCAATATATGAGGTGTATCCTTGTTTTAGAATCAGTGGGAGAGTTGTAACATTTTGTCCTTGGAGTACAAGTTGAAATCTGTTATCTGCAAGGGTATTTCTTATATAATTATTTTTTTTGACCTTTGTAGGGAGAATATGTACCAGTGGTGATGAATCTGTACAAGATATGCAGCCTCGATTACGAGAAACAGCCAATCCAGTTGAGAAAACCAGAGACAGCTCTAGTGATCGTGTGAGAATAGATGCCATTGCTACTTCCAAAGGATGCTGTCAAAAGTGTAAGGAGTTTGGTCATGCCACAGAATGTTGCACAATTGGTAAAACCCAGGAATCTGGTAATGAAGTTTCATTTGCTACAACAAGTAGTTCTATAGAGGAGATGCATAAAAGTGATAATGTGAAAGCTGCTCTCCAAGCAGCTTTGCTTAGAATGCCTGAAATACACAAAAAGAAAGAAGTGGCTAATCAAATGGATGAGCTTGGCACAGACTTGAAATTTGAAGCCACAGCTCAAGAACAAGTATTGGTTTCTGGTGCACTAAAGAATAGTATATCTGCTGAAGAAATTCACAATGGGCAGGACACTACTGAGAGCTCTGCAGCTGCGTCTTTGAAAGGTGCATCTGATGAAAAGCTGCTTAACTTAACTGGAAGTGATTCTTGTTCCCAATTAGAAAACTCAGGTGATGTTGTTCCTTCCATTGGAAAGATTGCTGTGGGGGACTTTCCAAATCAACCTTTGGCAATCTCACGTGTCCTTTCAAAGATGGCTGTTCCAGAATATGAACACATCTGGCAGTATGAAACATTTTCTCTGGGCTTCTTTGTCTTCTACTTTTGGATTGTTATATACTGTATTACTGTATGTGTACTGCCAACGTGTTTTTTATGAGATTTGTTGGTGGCATGCAGGGGTATCTTTGAGCTGCATAGGAGTGGAAAGCCTCCTGACTTATGTTCTGGAATTCAAGCACATTTGTCAACATGTGCTTCCCTAAAGGTTCTTGAAGTGGTAAACAAATTACCATCCAAAATTCCTCTCAGTGAAGTTCCTCGCGCAAGCACATGGCCTTCACAGTTTCATCAAGGTGGTGCTAAAGAAAATAATATCGCCCTTTACTTCTTTGCTGAAGATATTGAAAGGTAAGTATATCGAATATTGTTCTTTTATAGGAAAATTGTGGATGACCTTGGAAGATGAAACTTAAAAGGAATGGCCTAATTGACCACTGGTGTTGCTAATCTTTTTAAGCAGTTTTCATGGATTTTACAGCTTTTATAGTTTTACATTCCTAATGATGTTTTTTGATACAGTCATGAGAAACACTATGGGGCTCTATTGGATCACATGATGAGGAATGATTTAGCACTTAAAGGAATCTTTGATGGTGTTGAACTACTCATATTCCCATCCAATCAGCTTCCTCAAAAATCACAGCGTAAGGAATAATTCTGACTTTTCTCCCAAATTGTTCCTTCCTCCCATGATGGACAACTTGCTAATGGATTGTCTTCAGGGTCTATGGTGAAGTTTATTCCTATATTAATGCTTTGTGAAAAGTTGATTAATGTGCAACTTTGGAATGTATTGAGGTGACACAGCCTGTATATTTGGTCTCACCAAGAGTAGCTGTATTAAAGTGTATTCAATAAGAAACTGTTATTTTCCATTTAAGAAATTGTTACAATTACTATGATCTGGAATTTATTTATTATAAGATCCTTAGATTTTGAGAATAAGATTACTCTAGTTGATGAAGGCCATTAAGAATAAGATTGCTTCATCTTTATTTTAGTTTAGGCACTAGAGATAGTTTGACTATGCATCTTGATGATTGATAGTGTTACTCGTGATACGCTGTGTTTCCTCCAAGGTAATGTGGATGTGTCCAATGTGGCTTTTTGAATTTACATCTATACATGACTGTTTTTTAAAATAGAAAATTTGCTTAAATTCACTTGCAGAAACATGTTTCAAGATTGCTAAACAATCTTATCATCATTGCAGGTTGGAATATGTTGTTTTTCTTATGGGGTGTGTTTAGGGGTAGAAGGATAAATTACTCAGATTCTGCAGAAAAGACTTGTATTCCTAGCTTGAATATGACGCCAGCTAAAAAGGATGTTCCCACTGCCATTATGACTGTATCTGAGATCCACTGCTCACCAAAGCGAATGGATGAAGAGTCAATTCCTGGTGATAGGACATGTATGGTTCTCCCATCTACTTCCCTAGACCAGAATCGTGCTACAGTAAGTAGGAATTTTGATGTCAAAGAATCTAATCTTGACGAGACACAGTTAGGCTCACAAATAAACATAGAGGAACAAGATTGTGAATTTGACACCAAACCTACATCAAGCAGTCTGGCTAGGGGTGCACAATTCAGTCAAGAGTTGAAATCTACTGGCTCATCTATGGTAATCTATATATTTTTATACGCATGATTCAGTATATTAGAGTTTCTCTTTTTGCTTGATTAAAATATAAATTATCTTAGGTGTGCTTAGTAATGGTGTTAAAATTTTGATCTGATCAAGGTTCCTCAATTTTTTTACCTGCCAAATATTGTGAAGAACAGGGCTTGCTAATTTGGTGTCCCGCATTAAGACTAGTAGATATGGCATTTCGTAATTTTTTTTGGTTTTATGGTCCTGAAATGAGATATCTTTGCTGAATTTGCCTGTCTAAGTGCATGTCGGTTGGAGGTTTGGTTGAAACTACCTGTCCTTGATGAATAAATCAAGAAATGTAAAAGGAGGGTCGTGGGAATGGTATGAGAGATCTAATTTAAACATTTCTGTGAAGAGAGAGACAAATAAATATGATAATTTTGTTTGTGGTTAAATGCCTACTGTGGGACGTGTCAGGTTGAAATTGGTTTTTGCCATTAGGGCATATTTTATTTCTTGACATTGCTGGTGATTATTTCATTGGGATCATGAATAAACAAAATTATTTTTTTCTAGACCAACTTAGCACTTCGTTCCCTAAAAAATATCACCGATTTAATTCTGTCCTGAATAAAAAGATACAAAAGAAAATAAAACATGTAGCCAAGTCCTGAATTTTCTATATTTTTGCAATCAAATTAGCCCATTTATGAGCACACATAAGGACTGAAGTGAGCCTAAATGAAGTAAAAGGGTTCAATTGTGCATCACTTGTATTATGGGACAAAGCTCAAGCCAAATGATATTTTTTTCAGGGGTCAAAATGTGATTGTTATATATGTTGCGAATTGCCTTCATTTTTATATTTTGAAATATCACTTCATGCAGAAAGGTAGCTCCCCAGAACATGGAAGAGAGTCTGAACCTTCTCCTGGAGCAATGAGAACAAATGCTACTAGTAGGTTTGTGGAAACAAAAGTTGATCCTGGTATATCTGTTAAACAAGAGAAGTCTTTGCCTTCAGGGATTCCTTCTCTTGGCTCTCAAGAGATATGTGTTGCAAGCACTGCCAGTGAGGACAAATTTTCTGTGAGAATGGCAGGTGATAGTTATCAACAGAGGCATGAAAAGAAACAGAAAGATAATCAGTATATTGACCTTGAGACGGCTTTTCAGGGAGACCTAACTGTTGAAGGGGTTAATCTAATGGACACTGCTTTGCAGACTTCTGCAGTTACATGCAAGAGACTTTGGAGCGAGGCAGATGTCAAATTGGAAGATGGAGAAAAATCTAGCAAGAAGCTGAAAACAGATGACTGCGGAGCTTATGGATGTGGCAGTTCTGGAGGTAGAGATTCTTATAGGAACAATTTTGCATCACATGCAAATGATCTTGGTGCTGGTTCTTCAATTGAGGACAAAGGATGTGATGAAATCTGTGATGAGAAAATCATCCTGGAAGACTCGGGAAGAATGGAAAGAACTTTCTTTCCTGTTGATGCACGTAACGTAAATGATTCTCATTTGGGGCCAAATAGCTCGTCGTTGAAAGGGCCTCATGTGTATGATGATCAATCTCAAGATGAGCTACCAAATTTAGAACTTGCTTTAGGGGGTGAAATGAAGCCACCGCATAAGGGAATGCTGCCTTTCTTTGTTGGGGAAATAGAGAAGAAGCATGGTCAGGAAAAGCCTCCAGATTGCTTGGCAGATGAGCTAGAGGATGATGGTGATGCTGCATCTCTATCTCTTTCTCTATCGTTTCCATCTTCAAACAAAGAACGCGTTAAAACTGTTTCGAAAGCAGAGCAGCTTTTGCCTGATGGGCGCCATGTGAATACTTCGTTGCTCCTTTTCGGGAGATTCGCGGACAAATAAATCTGCTGGTAATTTAATCATGTACATTACCTCCCTAGATGCTGCGTCACAGCTATAGCCTACAGCCCATTGTGTATGATAATATTTGCCAGCAAGATTAAATAAGTTTTTCACCCCTTTTGTTTTCATACATGTTTTTGTTTTAGGTTTTTGGTTTCAAAATATGCACAGTTAACGGCTGTTTGTATATAGTGAGAATTCAAGCCGATACAATATGAAAATGTTTCTAGGAATCTGCTGCGTAGGGCTCTTTTTGCCAGTTTTCCTCTGGTTCTGGCCTCGTTGCTTGCATTTTCCATTGTACTTAACATCAACCCTAAGTTACTGTAGTACTGGATCTTGGACGTTGCTTTTCGGGCAGTGTTGTCAAAGGTGAAGCGCCTCACAACTCTAGCGCCTGTCATTAAAACCTTTGGCGTCTGTCATATGGAGTCTACTAGAAACTCAAACCCAATGACTGCATGCATGCGCGCGTGTATAATGCCATTTGGAAAGTCCACAAAACCATTTCATATTTGAGATAACATGACCAAATAAACATTATGAATTTGAAAAAAAATTAATCATTTAATCATTATAGTTTTGATTTAGATGTGATTTAATTTTTAAATTTTGGCTTGTTATAACTTGATGTTTATAATTTTGATTTAGTGTAATTTAGTTCTTGTTATTTTAATCATTTAAATATTACTCTTTATATTTTTAAAAATAAAAATTGTAGAGATTGAGATTATTTTAAAATTTTATTCTTTGTAGTGTTTATAAAGATTAACAGTTCTATAGAGAGTGGGTAGGGTGGGATTAGGAGTGAAAATAAATTAGGCCTCTATTAAGGGCTTATATTATGCTTACTTCATGCCTAGTCTAGCCTGCATATTAAATAGGTTTAAATCAGATTTAAATCTTTAATTATGCTTATTTAGTTAAACACGCAGCATTAGCTTTGCCTTTTGATTTTTTAATTAATCTATTTTTTTATTTCTGTTTATGTTTTTACTCGGATTGGATTTATAAATTAATTTTAATGTTATTATTTTATTATTATATTATAATTGGTAAATTTTTTTAATTATTATATATTATAATTAATAAATTAGGTTATATATATATATATATATATTAATAGTTGTAAAGTATATTTGACTCGTTTAAAATTACAGTACAAGCATATTTAAAATATTTATTTTTAAGTAAGTTTTTAGATCATATGTTTTGAAAGTATTTCAATACAATTTTATCTCATCACCTATTAAAGCTCAATCAATGATTACCCTTTCTTGACTACCCAATCTCAGTAATATTATTTTACTCAAACCATCCTTCCGATCAAGATATAACATTAGCGCTGGTAATGGCGTCGTTTTTCTAGTTCAAGAGCATGTCTCAAATTTCAACGTCATGTGGGCCTCTTTGTTTATACCATTTATTTGTCGGCCTTAAATGCCAAACTTCATTTCTTTCTGCTGTGCCTTCACTGCAAATCAGAACTATTTACAATGTTTTTTTCACTGCAATGAAAAGAAGCTACCTTCAAAACCAATGAATCTTTATTTTGGTATGTCTATGGTTCTTCTTGCTAAGACAGATTCGTGTTATGAGATAGATATATGTCATGAGTCTTATATCGAAGAGTTTCACAAGTAGTGTGAAATTTATAAGTATGAGGGCTCTTTTTTTAAATTTGTAATCGTTATATTGATACTTTTATGAAGAGGCCATTATTATGAAAAGAGCTACCCACGAAGAGTTTTGATTTGTAGGAGGTCGAGCGACGTGCTGTGGAGTGAACGGCATGTCATGAATAGGCGTGACAAAATAAATGGACAAGATTGAGTTGTCAATTGATGGGCCAAAGGTTATTATTAGGCTCAATAGTTAAGGGCTTAATTGGAATAGTTGGGTATATGAAGTGGTAGGACAATTGTGGGAGGCATGGGGGAATTTTGATAAACACTCTCCTTGACCGTCTGCCATTCTCCTCTTCTCTCTGGCCATTGTTCTCGTGACAGCAGATATCTCCTTCTTCTTTCTGCAAATTTGTGAATGCTTTCCCTTATGTTTCCCTATTTCTATATACTAGTTTTGTAATTTCCATTTATCAGTTCTGGAACTATCAATTTGGGTAGGGAAAATTGAGCAAATCAATGTGTTTTTGTGTTTATATCTTGAGTTTGTGACAAATGGTACTTTCATTGAGAGCTAGTATCACGGAAAGGATTATCCATGAAAGGTTTTGCATGGCAGGAGGTAGAATGAAGTGCTGGTAGGCAGAGTTATTAGGGATGTCAGCTATCAACGAAGTGACATTGTCATGAGTTTCACATGGAGAAGCTTTACAAGTGATGTGGGGTTTATAAGTGTGAGGGGCTTTTTCAACTAATATGCTAGTCTTTTGAGATAGACTCCCCAATATGAAACTCGTAACAATGTAAGAACCTATATTTTTTATTGAGAGAACTTCATTTAAGGACTATAATAGGTAGATATTTACCAATCAAATCCCTAAAAAAAAACTTTGAAAAACACACTGCAGGCTTCTAGAACCTAATTGAAATTAATTTTCACTGCAAAATAACGAAATTGCCCTAATGTTTAAACGGGAAGAAAAAAGCATCCCAGAGCGTATGAGAGAAGCGATTTTCGCAAGAAGGTCTCAGTTGGCATCCCATATCGTGCATGAAGTCATCATCAGAGGTGATTTGGAGAAAGTGTTACGCTACTACAATATAGGTCTGCCATTGGGTGAATAAAAGCTGGTGTGGACTTTGGAAGGTGTTCTCGAAGGTTTGTGTCATGTAACTCTCATTTCATCATTGACTTGTTGTTGATGGTCGAGAAGTAAAACTTGAAAGATGGATGTTGTAAGTTTTTTCAGTCTGTGCCCTGCATTTCTTTTTCCTTATTTATAAAACCATTTAGTGTAGTTATTTGCTCCTTTGTTGTGTTTCTTTGTTTTTCAACCCTTCTCTGTTGCACTTAATTTTGAAAGATTGAAAAAGAAATTGTTGAATAACAAGCAGGGTTATATAATTTACTGGTTGTTGATACTAATTTAACAGCATAGATATCGAACTTTCTTTTTTTATTGTGACAACTAGATGAATAAGTATAGAATAATAATAACAAGAAGAAGCCTTAGGAAATAATGAACAAAAGTTACAGAATCTACTAGTTGTTGAATTGGTAAGATTAATATAACTATAATGCTATTAACCTGTTTGTTTGTCAATTATCATATTAATTAGATGCGTAAGTATCAAAACCATAATAACAAGTACCTTTACAAAATTAACATGCATATCGATTGAATAACATGTTATATGCATGGTCAATGATTGAGAAGAATGGCATATTAGAATAACAAGATTATTAGAACTTGTGCGATAAAGATGATTTAACATGTGGTAGTTCAATTGTGACAAGTTTTTTTTTTTAATGAAAGTGTGCGGTTGAATATTTTTGTGTACGGTAAATTAACAAGTTAAGAACAAAATAACAACAACAACAACAACAACAACAAGTTTCTTTATGAAATTAACAAGCAATAGTGTTAGTGGATTGATACGTGTATGTTCGACGAATAAAGATTGTCAAGGTCTTCTGTCAATTAATATTTTGCAAATGACAAATTGAATATACGACATTAACAAGTAAATTTTAATATGATAATGAAAAAATTTATTGAAATTTATGTTATGAGTCCCACACTGAGAGGTCACATTTGTGAAGTGTGGTTTATACGTTAGGTGGGAACCCTCCCTATACGAGGCACCTTTTTAGAGTGAGTTCTGCCCAGAAGGCTTGTGGTCGTGACATTGGTACTCTTGTTAAGAGTTGTTGTTCGCAAAAAAGGCCTCCCACAGAGGCGTTTATTGGCTGAAGGCCAAGTGAAGCGTGAGCTGTTGAAGACGCTGGTTTTTGAAGGGTAGGCTATGTCATAAGTCCTACATCGGGAGGCTACATTAGTAGAATGTAGTTTCTAAGTCAGATGGGCACCCTCCCTTTACAAGGCACCTTTTAGGGTGAGTTCTACCAAGAGAGTTTATAGTCATGACATTGGTGCTCTTGTTGAGAGTCGTTGTTTGTGGAAAGGGCTACCCACGAAGGGGTTGATCGGCTAAGGTCAAGTGAAGTGTCATGGAGTGTGAGCCCTTGTGGATGCTAGCTCTTGAGGGGTGGGCTATGTTATGAGTGTCACATTGGCAGGTCACATTAATGGAGTGTGGTTTATAAGTCAATTAGGCACCCTCCCCTTATAAGATGACTTTTAGGGGTAAGTTCTACCTAGAGGGCTTGTGGTAGTGATAATTTACAAGGCATTGAAGTGTGTGATTGAATATTTTGGTGCATGTTCAATTAACAAGTTCCCTTACAAATTTAACAAGTATCATTATTGGATTGACAAATGTTTGCTTAATCAATGAAAATTGTCAAAGCTGTTTGTCAAGTCATATATTGTAAATAATAAGTCCTTTATGGGAGATTAACAAGTAACATTTTATATGATTGATGATTGTAGTTAATGATAAGCTCCATCATAACCTTAATATTAATCTTTGTTGGGCTAAGAAAATGGTGGAGAAGAAAGGATAAAGGAAAACATAAAGACAAAAGGAAGAAGTTACTGGATAGTGTGTGAAAGCAAGAAAGACAAATGGAAGTTTAAGAGCTTTGAAGATTATAAGCCTATATTTACAAATGTTACATGTAAATTGACAACAAGCTTTCTTGAATTGACATGTATTTATAGCAAGAATTTATATGTTTATTGTAATGTCATCCCCGATGTTACCAAGCACACAAAACACCGAACACGAAACCAAGCTATGATAACTGAGATTTATATTAATCTCATAAATAGTTATCATAAACTAAGGATTAAAAGTATTTAAAAAAATGAGATCTTGAAAAATCCATTTTTAAAATTGTATGAGCTCAAACTATAGTTCAAAACTAAATAAATAAGATAACAGAAGCAGGAAAAATCATCCCATAAGAATAATGAGTAGAAAAGAAAAATTTCAATAACTGGGGGCACAATGCGTCGTGGTGTAGTGTGTCATCTGCCATAGTGGACTGCATAAAGGAAAACATTCCTTCCTTTGCCTTAAGCCGTGGTGCGCATCCCTTGTCACAATGGCAAACTGCTGTTATGATAGCTCTTCATGCCAACATTTGGAGTGTGATGTTTCATTGTTCGACATTCAATTTGAGCAACTTAAGTGTCTACTTATAGCTCTTAAAGCCACCTAGCTATTGGCACC